AAGCTGATATAGCGACTGCTATATTAACAAATGTCATTGAGCATTTAGTGTTGCTGTTGCCCCCCAATAAGCACGCCTTCACCGCCAAAGCGGTGTGGGCGGATTTACGGTGTTTTTTCCTCTTCGACAAAAACAACATAAATCGGGAAAAAAAAATTGGGGGGCACCCCCTTGCGCCAACATAGCCCCAAGATGGCCCAAGATGAGCCCCAAGATGCCCAAGATGGCCCAAGATGAGCCCCAAGATGGCCCAACTTAGGCCCAACAAGGCTCCAAGATGGCCCAACATAGGCCCAACATAGGCCCAACATGGCCCCAAGATCGCCCAACATGACCCCACGATGGCTCAACATAGCTCCAAGATGGCCCAACATAGCCCCGAAATGGCCCATAGCTCCAACTGGATGCAAAAGACAACAACATCAACCACATCGACAACATCAACAACATCAACAACATCAACAACAACATCACCAACAACATCGTCATCGACAACAACAACAACAACAACAACAGCAGCAGCAGCAGCAGCAACAGCAACAGCAACAACAACAACAACAGCAACAGCAACAACAACAACAACAACAACCACCACAACCACAACCACAACCACAACCACCACAACAGTTGTTGTTATTGTTCTTGTTCGTGTTGTTGTTTTTGTTGTTGTTGTCGTTGTCGTTGTTGTTGTGGATGCTGTCGTCGTTGTTGTTGTTGTTGTTGCTGTTGTTGTTGTTGTGGTTGTTGTTGCTGTTGCTGGTGTTGTTGTTGTTGCTGTTGTTCTTGTTGTGGTTGTGGTTGTAGTAGTCATCGTCGTAGTCGTAGTCGTCGTAGTAGCCCTAGTAGTAGTAGGAGTAGGAGTAGTAGTAGTAGTAGTAGTAGTCGGAGTAGTAGTAGTAGTCGTCGTAGTAGTAGTAGTATTAGTAGTAGTAGTAGTATTAGTATTAGTAGTAGTAGTAGTAAGTCGTCGTCGTCGTCGTAGTTAGTAGTAAGTCGTCGTCGTCGTCGTAGTTGCTGTCGTTGCTGGTGTTGTCGTTGTCCTTATCGCTGTCGTTGTCCTTGCCGTTGTCGTTGTCGTTATCATTCTTGTTGTCCTTGTCGTTAACGTTGTCGTTGCTGTTGTCGTCGTTGTCCTTATCGC